GGTGCACCACGTGGAGGTAAGTCTATCACACACCCCCATTATAATATTTATTAAGCAATCACACGTATACTGTTGGCACATGTGCGTAATACTTTACGTCGTCCCATACTGTACTTTTCAGCTGTAATAAAAAAGAAACATTTTTCAATTACTAGATCTTTCCATTTGTTAATTTTATCTATGTTAAGTGCTCAGTATCAAAATAGAAGCAAACACATTTATTTCGACATGAATGCGATCACAATTCAATTTAGTGCCGCTTCCAATCTCAGAATGTGATAAAATGGCATCATTATCATCAGATTGTGAAGTCGCACAAAGGATTCCCACGTGGTCCTCAACTGAAAGTAATAATAATAACAGACCATGTATTTATATTGTAAAATTTAAATTCCGCAACTTTACTGCAAATGTAACTGAAATGCACTCAGATGACATGAATTTATATGCACTCCAATTAAGTTATTCCAAGCCATCTTCCTCTATCCAATTTTTATATGTAAATAAGCTACTGCAATGACGCTTACAAGAAATCCACGTTTCAATTAAAATACGAATATTAATTAATTAACTAATTGAAATTAACTAAAACTGATTATAGTCATTAATTTAGTTAGTATATCATTTACTTTGTTGCTGAAGCTTTTATTCCTGCAGACAAGGGTGTGCGATAGACTTACCTCCACGTGGTGCACCCCAGACAACTTATTCTCAAACGGCAAAAATTCTATAAACCGGCTGTTGACTTCTAGCTTCAAACTACCATAACCCCACTGTATGTCATATTCCCCCACTTCCATAGTATTCACTTTAACCTTTTCCTACCTTAGTGTCTATCTGTCGCTTTTACGTCCTTGAATCACTTTTCTGTTCCCCCTTCTCTTCTTTTTGTCACTTTGATGTTTCTCCCCTCTGTGAAGCCCGGAGTCAGCTAAATGGCTAATGATAACTATCATAAAGCCTACCAATTAAAATAAATAAATATTCCTCCGGATATGGTTGCAGGTCTTCACGTGGCATACCTGATTTTCCTGACGAAAATGTTGTTTAAACCACCACAGACCCTCAAACCGATCCAAACGTACCTCTGCCATCCTATTAGCATCTCCATAAGGCTGTAAGATACGTGGCTTCAACCAATCTTACGAGTCATATGATAAGGTTGCCGTCTCACAATCTAATTACAGTATTTTTCAAAGCTTTACATCATAGGCTCATTGTGATTGCATTGTATCATTCTTTATAACAACATCTACTATAGCAGCACCAAATATAATTTAGGCGTCGCCCAAATTAACATTAACTATCTCCTTTGCGAATAGCATATTGTCATTATCATTTTCACTACTTCTATTGTTATTTTGAAAACCCTATATATTTTGGCCTATTCTAGGAAGCGCTAGTTTTTATTTTGTAATTTATTAAAAATATACATTGAATTTAACGTTGAAGTGGGTAATTATGCTAATCTTATTCAAAAAGTAACGAGAATAACTGTTGAATAAAAACGAGCAATTGCTACCCAAGTTTCATTAATTGTGCATTTTTTTTCTTAAGTGTGATAGATTGTAATGAAGCTAATTATTTAATGTAATTTAATTTTTTATTAAGGATATAGTAGTAGGCTAATGCAGTTGTAGCAGTAAAAAATACTCTTCCTTACTAGTTCCTATTATCATAGATTACTGCTGTCCTAGAATAGCCCACCTACCTAATGATTAAAACAAACTACAAACTGGCTGAATATCAGTTAAAATAGATATATATTAATAATGCCACATTCAGTGAAAAATAGGTTTTATCTTGTTTTTGCCTAAATTCATTATTTTTTCAAGCTCCACGTACTTTCAAATGAGAACACACATGCATAAATATATATAGAATAAGATGACTATTTTCTGAGTGAATTGAGAAGCACAGCAATTTCTTAGCAAATAATAGTAAGCAATTACAGTCTGTAATTAAAATAATTACGCTAACGAAAGTAGGAGTTAAGATGGCAGACGAGAAAACGGCATTTTGGCAATGCAAAAATAGGCGTAATTTCAGTTTTAATTTACCGGCAACTTATTAATAGACAACCGAGGCCACAAGTTAATTATGTGGCTACTTATCCATTCTTGTTACCTCCATACTATGATAAAGCCTGAAAGAAAAGGTATTGCTATATTCTAATATTCTAGGTCTCTTCTATGTTATAATTGCAACTTAATATGTCTGTGACTGTTTCATACTAAGCTCTTGATTGTTTCCGACTTACGAAACAGTCATCTGTCGCTCACATCTTACCGAGGACGAAAACCAAAACCTTTGAGGCTCAGAGATCAATATACTCACTGGATGTCCCGTGGATTTCATGACTAACTTCATTTGTTAAATTGGGTCAATAAGAAGAACGGCAAAATTAGAATTGCTCGCCGCTTTATGGTACTGTTACAAAGTGCACGATTAACTTACCCTCATGTGGTGAACTCGGGACAACGCATACTCATACGACAAAAGTCTATTGACCGGAAGTTGGCTTCTGACTTTAGACTACCGTGGCCCAACTGTATGTCATATTCAACCAATTTCACAGTACTCACCTTACTCTTTTCCCTACCTTTGTGTCTCTCTGTCTCCTTTACGTTTGTGAATCGCTCTTCTGTCCCCACCCTCAAGCTCCCAACCTCGACATTTTGTGACTTTGGTGTTTATCCCCTCTGTGAAGCTTGAAATCAACTAATGGGAGAGTGGTAACTACCATAAGGCCTGCCTTTTGATATCAATAAGTAGTACTGTCGCTCTACGCAAAATGAATGTTTAATAAAATTTCCCCAATTTATCTTAAAATTTAGAATAGAATAATAATCTGTCCTATCATTATCTACCATGACCCTGTTGCCCTTTAGACAAGAGAGTGCAAATTACAAAAATAGGCTTTATGTCTAAGAACACATTATGAGTAGTTCTAACGTTGACGTCTTCAAGCAACCTGTCTGCGTCTACAAGTCCATTATAAGCGTGGAAATCGTGATAATAAATATATTCATTAAACCAGTGTCCTTCATCGTGAGCCGAACGTGTCAATATTATAGGCCAACTAAGGAATAAAAAGTCGCTCCAGATTTATTTATTATTTATTTTTCTTTGAATTTTCCCATTCTCTAGCTCCGATATAAATTGACCCGAAAAAAAGTAAATATATATACATTTTGCCGATGATTAAATTTTAATGGAACAAGAAAAAAAATGCTTGAAAATCAATTGCTCCATTGGGTCTACAATTTGGCTGCCTTTTTGCCCTTGGGAGTCCAATTAACAAATAATTCTGGGTCGATTAGGATCTAAAATGGGAGAAGATGGAACTATTTAGTCAAGCAAAGAATTAAAACTGCTTCAGTTCCTTTCGAAAAGAAATTTTAGCTTTGAGCTCTCGTTCCTTGCGCATTTGACTCCAAAGTCCTAATGCGGCTTGGCTATTTTAAATCCCTACACCTGGGTTCTAGATTTCAAAAGTTATTTTCTTACGTTCATCTTAGGTAGAGAGAGAAGTAGTATCACGGAGCCTTCCAAGTGATAGGCTCTAGTTCTACCTCCCTCTACATGGTTAGTAGTTTCGAGCAGCGACTAATGTCGTAGTTAGTTGAGATGCTCAAATTTCATTCAGCAAAATGTGACTTCAAGAGACAACGCTGAAGTTGATTAACTCACAAATAAAATGCGTATTCAAGAGCAAAAGAAATTTGAAAGTAAACATTTGAGAGGATTACTATCTTTACTTCCATTTAAATTGGAAACGAGCCAAGTCGCTCTTGAAGAATTTTATGCCATTGTGAAGGCATTTTAGAGCAAAAGGGTCAGAATTGATGTGATGACATCGTCACAATGTATCACAAAGAAAATAATATTTCATTTGAAAAGTTACGATTCACGGCAACTGTCAATCAGAATAATTTTCGACCTTCTTTTTTATTCCTTCCCTTTGCCGATTAAATTTACCCCAAAAATTTGACTCATTGTTTAAGAATTCCAAAATAAAACGTTTATGAAATGTAACACAAAAGCACTCAGTAAATGTTTGATGTCTCTGTTATGTGATAATTTAATTGACGCCCAGCAACCTATCCTAAGCCTCCTTGAGTAGTTGAGTAAATTTACATGGTAACTAGAATGTGTGCTTAGTCATTTGAGTAAATAGTTATTATCCTACGCAGCGATTGAACGCAACAATAAGCTGCATCAGGATATCTGTGAACTGCAAGAACGAGTCTCGTGCTGATTAAGTAAAAATACACCTCTTTGCATTGCTAAGAGCATAAATGCATACCAACGTCAGTTCTAATACTCAGAAATGACAAATTTGCCCGCCCCCCACATTACTAGAGGTGTTCTAATGAGCATTGGATTTTGTCCGCCCAGATGTTCCGCCCTGTTTGTGTCTGTTCATGCTCAATTCCTTTCTTTGCCTCTCTTCTCTCTGCATGCCGAATTCTCCAATCAAAAGTATCCTTACAGGAAACAAGGATGGTCGATAAACTAATTTTAGTCATTTTCCCAACATTTTTCCAAAACTTAGTTCAATGCCAATGGCGATTCGCATTTAAATAGATGAACTTACGTCATAAGTTACCAGTGGCTGTTCTTCATTAACCTTCGGATCTGCTATGTCCAATTTCTTTTTCCACTTCATATTGCTCTGGTTACCATCGCCGAGTTCTCCGTCAACCAGATCTTCTTCGGATTTTCCATCCTCATTACGTGTCAACACTGCTCCTTTCACTTCCTCCTCATTGTTGTCATTTTCATCCAAGGTAGCGATCTTGGAGGTGTGTGGTTTGGAGTTATTGGCTTTATCCCTCTCAATTCCATCCTCTTCATCTTCTTCGGAGACTTCTCGAACCTGAGCCATTCTATTCGGTTGAACCAGGTAGATTTCCACTTTGCCCACAGTGTATATGTCATAGACATAATTAATCAAGTCATTTGCATCTAAGAGGAGAAGTGAATTATGTGTGAGACCATAAGGAGGAAGTAGGTTGGGGATTTTTCATAAAGAGAAATTTTTCTGGTTTTCAATAGCGATTTAGTTGTAACAAGGTAGGATCTTCAAAGCGTTTTATTTCCTTCCCCCAACACATGAGAAGTTGTAAGGCAGCTGCTGAGTCACAAAGCTCCCGCTTTTTTCCGTGTGAATAACAAGTCGTTTATGGCTAATTCTAGCACGAATGATGATATCCGTCAAAAGATAATTTTTTGTGTCCTCCCCC